AAATATGTTTGTATTTATGAAACAGATCATCTCTGAGAATCTGCTAATGGGATGGGGCCACATTTCAGAAAAGAATCAAATATGCTCATGGTCCCAAGGGTCTTACTGTCTAGGGGGCAAGTCAAATAAACAAACAGAGTGACCTGTGCAAGGCATTATGGGAGTGAGGAGAAGAGACACCCATGATGCCCGCTGGGTGAGGTGGCAGGCACTAGAGTGGATGGAGAATCTTTTTAGAGAAGGTTAGGTTTGAGTTGAACCTGAAAGTTAAATAGTAATTCATCCAGCAGACAAGAAGAGAAGGAAAATTGCAGTAGTAGTATGTACAGAGACTCAAAAATGTGTAAAACATGGTGAGTTTTGGGAAGCACACATGGTTTTGAAATGGTTGGAAAACAGGCAGAATTGATCTCCAAGCATAGTAGCTAAATAGTAGCCCTGCGACCAGAGCATAGAAGGGAAGGGAATGTCTCTGGAAAACTAAGTTAAGGTCAGATCACAAAGAGTCTTGAATGCCAGAGCAAGGATCTGGACTTTCATGTGTGCATGTATGAGTGTGGTGTGTGTGTGTGTGTGTGTGTGTGTGTGAGAGAGAGAGAGAGAGAGAGAGAGAGAGAGAGAGAGAGGGGGGGGGGGGAAGGTAGATATTTTCACTGAAGAATTTTAAGGAAATGAATTTAAGAAATCAGAGTTGTGTTCCATCAAGAGCTTTCTCACCAACTCTGGCCAGTCCACTCTGTCTTACCTAATACACTATTTTTTTTTTTTCTTTAAGCAGATGGTCCTGGAATGCCCTTGCATGATGCCATCTTGTTCAGTTTAATCCATTCCTCTTTGTTATTTTAACCTAAGCCCAGGTAATCAAGGCCCAGATTGTAATTGTCTCCAGCACCAGGCAGTCTAGGGCTGGTGGTTATTTTAAAAGACCGTGGCTGCTGGGGAGTGAGAAGAGAAAACCAGTGGGGTTTGTGCCCAGGAGTGTTTCCAGCCTTCGTGCTTCCAGCTCTACACTTTACAGCAGGCTTCGTAAAGATTTAGTTGAAAATCAGCTATGGATTCCTCCCTAATTGACTTGGCCAGGTTTAATCTGTTACTGGTCAAGCCAAGCTGGCTTCTATTATGCAGTGCACTGAGGATTTCCAGTGTTGCTCTTATACTAATGGAGGCTGGCTGTTTTTAGAAGCAAATCTTGGTCTTGGTGAAGGCCGGTATCATTGTGTCCTCTGAAGTGAACCCAGAAAGACGCCCATCTGAGACAACATTTAGACCTTGACTACAAAGAGCGAATCTTGGATTTGGTATTTACATACTAGAAGGTTATGTTTTGTTTATGTTTTTTATTTTTCTCCATAGATAAAACAAAACTTTCTATTTGTTTCTGCCTCTGTGGGTTGAGTCGTGAAATGCTCAGGGTACCCAGTCCAAGGAGGTAACACCTGCAGCAATGGGACAGCTTCAGAGGGTGGCTTCTCTTGGCCCAGGAGACTAAGTGACCTCAGAAGATGGGACAGGGGTGTTCTGTCACTCTGGGCCCAGAACCTCTGGCCTTTGCTGAGCTCCCTCCCTTGAGGGTGTCCAGTCCTGAACACGTAGACTTACGTGTCCTGGGAAAGAGAAGAGACATCATGTTGTGGGGCTGGGATAATATATGGGCACTATTACCACTGAACCATCAGTGGAAGCTGTGTCAATAGAAGAGGGACAAAAGAGAGCCAATGTCTGGAGAGTTTGTGGAGGTAAAAGAGCAAATCATCAGGGCAAGCCCAGAGGAGAGGGTTCATGTTTGCTTCTGGAGTTCACATGAAAGAATGGAGAGGACTGGGGAGTCTCATTTTCCCTATGATCCTAGAAGGACATTGGATTTCCTAGAGCCATTTGCAAAAGTGGGATGAGGACATGCTGTATATACTTACAGTCACTCAGAAGTAACCGATCACTTTCCCAGCCCCATCAGTCACCCTGCCAAGCCCTTTCTAAGGGGCTTTGAAGACTTTGCACAGTTTTGTTGGAGGAAGTCACTTATGGAAAGAACATTTACACTACAGAGCTAACTCATAGAATCAAGATCGACTTGGAGTCATTGAGTGTGTTCCCATGGACTTATTGACACAAACAGCTTCCACTGATGGTTCAATGGTAACAGTGCCCATAAATTATCCCAGCCCCACAACGTGATGTCTCTACTCTTCCCCACCCCCAGGTTGCAGACTCAATCCCCAGTAGGGGGCCTGCAGGAGGCAGCTGATCGATGTTTCTCTCTCACATTGATGTTTCTATTCCTCCCTTCCTCTGTCTCTAAAAAAATCAATAAAAACATATTTTACAAAAAAGATCAACTTAAAACTCCGTAAATCAAAATATAGTCACATATAAACATAAACAGGCATTTTACAGGTTTTAGAAACCAGTTTAACATCTGTTTTGTTTTCCTTGTTAATTCTATCTCCTCCACCCCCTCTGCCCTCACTCCCACCCCTGACTCTAAAGTGAATTTCTCAGCAAAGCCTCATTTAAAAGATGCTACAGACCCTGCATTTTGAACTGACTCCCAGGGCTTGATTTTGAAGATTTCTCCTCCCCAGCCCCACCTCGGTTCCCTTTGGCCTTCCAGCTAGCCAGGCAAGCATTCCACGGCCCAGCCTTGACAAATCTGCACCTTTTGGTGCAGCTTGCTACCCCCTGGCACCTGTCAGTCTCCTGGGGCCTGCTGAACACCCACTGGGCATCAAGGCCGATAGCAGTGACAGGGCTATATCGGAGCAACAACACCCACCTGGGGGCCCCAGCCAAGGCCTGATCAAAAGCAGTTGTGCAAAAGTTCCCTGAGTGTTCTCTTTCTTGAAACGTCTACTGTGATTAGGGCTATCCCTCCATGAACTTAAATTTTTTTTTTATTTTAGTTTTGGATTCTGGTTTTTTACCTCCTTTATTTGAATATCCAAGAATCTTGAAGCTTGTCCAAGAGAACAAGAATCATGACATCATAGCAAATCAGACCTGAAGGGAATTTAAACCACTCTCTTCAATTTATCAATGAAGATGCTGAAACCCATTGAAACAGAGAGAATTGCCCAAGGGCGTATGGCCAGCCATATCCAGGACTAGCAGTCAGGCCTCCTGACTCTTCTTCGGCGCTTTCACCATAAATGTGTGTTTGTTTAGCATATACAGGTGCAGTTTTTATTGCAGCCATCTGTGTGTGTTGATATTCATCCCAGTAAGAGTAAAATTACACATAATGGGTAACATTATTGAATAATTATTGAGTGACCGACATTGTTCTAAGCACTTTATACATGCAATAACATTTACCCTTATGACAACCCGATTTAGTGTGTCTTATTATTATCATCACTTTGCAGTTGAAATACCTGAGGCACAGACAAGTTAAATGACTTGCCCTTAGTATGTAGGGCAGTCCTAATAGATTGTGACTTTCCTGGGACTCAGGACTGTGTTTGCATCAGCAAATATGTACTGAACCTCTGGAAGAGATAAAGCCCCTGCCTTTCTAGTGGGAAATAAAGACCTATGAGTAGATCAATCCCAACAGCACACAGTGATGTCTGCAACAGGCATGAACAAGGGGTGGCGGGAGGCAGAGGAGGGGGTAACGGGCTTCCCCCAAGGAGATGGCGTTGGGGTGGTCTTGGGGATGCTTTGGAGTTTGCTAGCCGGAGAATGAATGAGTGTTTGTGCACAAATGGATGGAAAAACCTATTGCATTCAGGGAAATATCAAGAGAGCGAGAAGTTCAGGGTGATAGAAGGCAGAAACACGATGGTTGTGGGGGAGATGTAGGGACACGGGGTTAGAGAGGCAGGTTGGGAGTAGACTGTGAAGCACCAGTGCCCCAAGGTAAGGAATTTGGATTCTATCCAGTAAACTGAGGGGAGCCAACGGAAATTTTTATGAGTAGGGAAGTGACAGAATCGGGACCGAAGAGACCGCAGACGCACAGGAAGACAGGGACAAGAAAACCGGGGAGGAGGTTGCTGCAGTGGTCCAGGTGGAAATGAGGGCCTGGCTCCTAACAGTCGCACTGGATGGGCACAGGCTGCCTCCCGTGGTGTTTCACACTGCTCCGTTGGCTTGGAATGCTCTTTCATCCAGTCTTGCTGGACCTACGGGCCCCCTTCAAGACAACGCGTAGGTGCTCGATGCGCAGACTCCTTAGCACAAGCTCGCGCTCTCCCTCCTCCGGTGCTCCGCTGTCTCTGGCACATTCTTCTTGCTCCCTTGGCACACATAAAATCGTGTTGCACGTCTTTGTGTACATTTCTCTTTTCTGCTTACACCCAGCTCCTTGAAGGCAGAACCAGGCCTTTGGCTCCTTAAATACTTGGCACAGTGCCTGACATTCAGTGAGCTCTCAATAAATGTGAGATGAATGAGTAAACTTACTAAATAAAGGCAAAGACTATGGATATGGAAAGAAGAGGCCGCATTTCAGATGATGATTTTTTTTTTTTTAAGTTATATCAGGGGTTGGAAAACCATGGCCAATGGGCCAAATCCAACCCAGTCCTCCATTGCTTTTTAAATAAAGTTTTGTGGGAACGCAACCAAGCTCATTTGTCTACGTTTTGTCTCTAGCTGCTTTCATGCTATGATAGCAGAGTTCATTTGTTGTGACAAGACCAGAGGGCCCTGCAAATGCAAAACTGTTTACTTTCTGGACCTTTGCTGAAAAAGTGTGTCAACCTCTGAGTTAGGTGACCAGGATTAGTGACTAGAGATAAAGGGTGACGGAAAGGAAAGAGTCAAGACTTTTCCTTTTCTCTCATAGTGATGAGAGAAAATTATGGCACTGCCCAGTAGTCCTGCAGGGACTGAGAAAGAAACACCTGTGACTGTGGGGCAGGAGGAGAAGGGAGCCTAAGAGATCTAGGCAGAAAGAGATCTCGTAAAAAAAAAACCTGGCCATACGCTACAAGGCGGAATTGATCTAAGTTCCACATCTTCCTGGTGAAGCTTCTCGTGCTTGTGCTCTCTTTCAGTCATCCAGTTTGGCTTTGTCACCCTCTTTGTGGCCTCCTTTCCTCTGGCACCTGTGTTTGCCCTCCTCAACAATGTCATTGAAGTGCGGCTTGATGCAAAGAAGTTTGTCACGGAGCTGAGACGCCCAGATGCTGTGAGAATCAAGGATATCGGTATGTTCCGGCTTCGAGGTGGTGGAAGACCTTCCCCCACCACCACCCTCACACTATGCCAGGAATCCATGGGCTGGGGAAGCCCTTACCCTTCTGAGCTCCTCATCCTCAGACCTTCAGGTACCGGGAGGCTCTCAGAGGCTATGTTACCCACCCCCAGTTGTGCCCCTGGTTTCTAGACAGGAGAGCACCCAATCCTTTCCAGAGAAACCCGCTCCTGGGGAGCCCAGCACCCTTCCTTGGTAACATGTCTGCAAAGCATCACCCTGAGCCACAAGGTTATCATCACTGGGCCAAGCGCTAGAGTGAGCCAGACGCCCTCCTTTCTGTCTTACAGGGATTTGGTTCGACATTCTCTCCGGAATCGGCAAGTTTTCTGTCATCAGCAATGTAAGTACTTACGTTCATGACACCCTCGCTCTGTGGGAAGGGCTTTTCCAAGGAGCTCAGGTCTTCCGAGCAGGACACCAACCCTTGTTACCTCTCAGCCTTTTCCATTCGGAGCTTCGTTTAAGACAGCCCCCTGGTTAACAGTGTGTACAGGCTTCTAACTCGTCATGCTTTTGCCAGAGCTATGCCACCTAATTGTTAATTTCACTAAGAGAAGGAGGGTAATTACCCACCACAATGCAGAACTGCGTCTTAAGAGTCAAAATCAGAGCCAAAATCAGATCTTTGCTCAGAGCCAAGAATAATGAGGAAAGAATTTCGTGTATCTATCCATCTTTTTCCTTTCTTTTCTACTCCCAAGCTAAACAATACCTGGAGCATTGCCCAGACTGCAATTCCTAATTACGGTTCCTCCAAGTTGTCAATGTGAAATCCTAATTATCCCCACGGATTCTGGCACTGTGTAGGTGAAGAGAGGACATGGAAGAAGAGGGGTCCTACCTGTTGTGACGTCCTTAACTGCTTTGCCAGACATGTCCACATTTCAAAGGAAATCCTGCTGGGCCCGAGCCAACAGCGCCTGTTGCTTCTGCCTTCTGTACGGATGGTGGCCAGGCAGGCTTCCTCTTTCCTCTCCCAAGAAAATATCAGCTAGCTTGGTGAACACCAAGAAACCCACAACCCTTTTTCCCTTGGGAGAGGATCGTTGATTTAGTTGTGACCTGGCTCCCTATGAAGAACACACAAAATGGCCAGAGAGATGTGAGGGAAAGCAGAGAGAATCAGCTTATTACATTTTGAATGTTTGATGTAGGAAACACACATTTTGAGAAATAAGGTGCAATTTGGAAAACAGATCAATGGCTACTTTGGAGCTATGTCTACTAAAAAAGAGGCCCTGAATACTAATCACTTTCCATCACTTATCTGTAAAAATGGGAGAGAATAAGAGTACCCACCAAACGGGATCATTCTGGAGTTTAAATGGGCTGATGGAAGGACAGAGAGCCGGTGCTGAGTAGTTGTAGCTGTGATTATTATAAGTATGTTCCTCATTCTCAAATATGGTTATGGCCATCTACACTCATATATACATTGAAAAAACAATACCTAAACTACACTTTAAAAAGGACTTCAATTGTTGGTGTGGACTATAGTATAAACACTTGCCAAAAAGATACAAGGTTTTCTTTGCAGAAAGTATGTCCACATTCAAACATGTAATGATTCATTTGTCGTTTGGTTCGCTCCAGACATTTATAGAGTGCTTAGACATGCCAGATGCTGCGTTGGGTGTGTGTGGTTCCATCCAGCAGGACCTACTCATTTCCCCTCTCTGTCTCACTTTTCCTAAGTAAAATGAATGAAAGAACCATTTCCATTATATAATGTGCCAAAAAGTGCAGACAGGTAATGGTCAAATTGTGGAACCATATCCTTGGTATTCCTGGCTGTCTGATGTCACTCAAGGGTAGAGGTACCTGGTCATTCAGAGTCCTTGCTCGTTGTACCTAAGTGGCACTCTCATCACTGGGTAATTTTCTCAGAAAACCTTCCATTCTGCTTTGGCTTGGCCAATGCCAACTGTCAGAGGCAATTTATTCCCTCCAGCACCAAAGGTCCAAATGGCTTCAAATCCTTTGCTACAGTGATTGTAATTTACTCTCTTAACAGCCACTGTCTTATAGCTTTACTTAAACGATAGAAAAGCCAGGTAAGTCAGCTATGTGAGCTCAGAGATAAGGATGTCTGTATCAATCAGAGCAGCACCTCTGAATGGGGAGCCCCTGAGGGGACAGTCTCTCTGCCAGATAGACCCTGTGGCAACTGGAAGCATCCATCCTGACCTCTCCTCAAGTGCTTGTGGTTTTGTTCCTCAGGCTTTTGTCATTGCCATCACCTCCGACTTTATTCCCCGCCTTGTGTACCAGTACTCGTATAGTCACAACGGGACTCTGCATGGCTTTGTCAACCACACCCTCTCCTTTTTCAATGTCAGCCAGCTGAAGGAGGGAACACAACCGGAAAACTCACAGTTTGACCAGGAGGTTCAATTCTGCAGGTAAAGTAATCATGAGGAGGAAGAATGCAGAAGACCTTAAATGGTAGATTCAAATAATTATCTGGCTGACCCAGACTTAGATCATTCTCCTTTCCCTCTATCTCCTACACCACCCCTAATTGCTATAAATCAATTTCCATGAATCAACAAATACTTATTGAGTACCTTTTGCTAGACACTATGGAGCAGACAAAGTAGTATATTGCCTCGTCTTTACCATCAAGAAGTTTATGGTCTTCCCTGGCCAGTTTGACTGATTGGGAAGAAAATAAGCAGAACAGATAAGAAATAACAGGCTACTCAGTTTTTATAGTTAGTATGAATCATAAACATTGTGGGGATTCAGAGGAGGGGAAGTCACTGTTGGCTAGAATGAAGAAGACAGGCTTCCTGGAGAGACCAAGAGGGATTCTAGGACAGAAATAGAGTGTCTTAGATGGGGAGTCAGCATGGGCAACGTTATGGGGGTGGGGATGAATCTGGGGTGTTACATAAACACTTGGGGGGCTAGGTGACCTAGTTGGCAAAGAGAGTGCTTTAGAGATAATAATAGGGAATAATATAGGAAATACAATATATGTTGAAAGTCCTAGGATAATATAAACCAAAAACTTTGTTGAACTTGAATAGATAAGATAAAGTAGTTGATGGAAAATCTTGAAATCCTACAAAAATTATAATGTAATGTAATAGGAAGCTATTGACCTTTTTACTATCAAGGAGTGATAGGATAAAAGGCAGCCTTAGGAAAGTTGACCTGTTCTTAGAGAGGAAGATAAAGTAGAATCGGGGTAACACAAGGAGGGCAGCTGAGCCTGCTGCATCATTCAGACGTGAACCATGGTAGGCACAGACCAGGGTGGAGGAGAAAGAGAAAAGATGAGCTATTCTATTAACATAGTGCAAAGTTAGTGACAAGACACATAAGAGAGAGTCTGAGTTGGATATATCCAAAGTTTGAACTAAATTCAGAGGACCAGGAAATTGTAGGTCGATTGACAGAGATGGGGTTGATGCTAAGTGAATCTAATTTTATGGTACATGTGATGAATTTCATTTCAATCATGTGTTGAAAATAATGGCAGAAAATCTAAGGACAAATTTTTACCTAACACCTAGACACACTAAAGTGGAATTCCAGAGCAGTCCAGGTTAGAGTTATGATTAAAAACCATCACAGGGATCATTGAAGCCAAAAAACAAAACTTTCTACTGTTTACCCAAGAAAGGGAAATAGATAGAAGAAGATCAGAGGAGACTAAATTATTTAACACTTTTGTACCCTGGTAAAATGATAGTCCCCATAAAGGACTTATTCAAAGATCACACCTTATAAATAAAAATATATAACAGTAACTACAACAAAAATAAAAGCCTAGGGAAAGGTATTGTTAGGGAAATATAGGGCTTTCTCAGACCATCCCCAGTGGTGTCTGATATAAAAGCTGTTGATGACTCAATCAAAGGAGCCGTGTTTCAGCAGTGATGACGCTGGGCACATCTGCCGTACTTTTCCACCTGGGACACCTTGGTAGTCAAGATCAACCATTTATAAGATGCTGTTAAAGTTAGATTTCACAGTCTGAGACCACAAAAGAGAGAAAACAAATTGGTCTTCCAACCCAGATAGCTGACTTAAACAACCTTACTAATTAGTGACTTAAATAGAAGGGTATCATGGGCCCAGGAGCAATATCTTTAGGTTCAGCTCTAGCCAACCAAGCAAAGACTCAGAATCAGAGACCAGATCTTAAGAATAGGTGAGTAAATTTATTCATAGAAATCAATTTATATCTGCCTCAGTGTTTCAGGAGTTTTCACATCTGGGGCTATAAAGACTCTGGCTCTTAGACTAAAGTCACATGCAAGCAGATTTGGTCCTAGACTATGCACTGCCCAGGGGCCACTCCTCTGTATGCCTGGAGTACCAGACTGTCCATGGTGCTGGAGTTGGGTCTGTGGATACAGCAGACATAGTTCTGCACAGAGAGGTCTGCCCCAGCTCCAGGCCTGTTCCTGTAGCATCTAGATCTACTCCAGCGGGGTCCATGGACTCAGTAACATATTTACATTAAAGAAGCAGGCACTGAAAAGTGAGAATTATACAATCATGTGTATAACTGGAAGGTACTACAGAAATCATCTTGTTGAGACTTCTCATTCTACATAAAAAGAAACTGGGGCTTAGAAAGTTGAAGAGTTCTCTAAGATTACAGAGGTTTCCAATGACAGATCCTGAACTAAATTTCATATCTGTACAAAAATATAAGCTGTCACCCTCATGTGCAGTGGGGGAGCAATACTAGTTAGACTTACCATGTCGGGAGGCAAGGCTAACACTATCTGCTTCTCTAGTTACTTTAGAAGCACGTATTTGTTTAGAGCACTGAGGTTCTCTGACCTTGCCCTGACCATCAGATCTTCCAGTAACACATATGAATGTGCTTTCGAGATATATCAATGGCCTAAACTACCTTAAACACAAAGGGACTTGTATTGGAAGGTGAGGGTAGGCCTAATTTTAGGCAAGTTTTGATTCAATCAAATCCGTTACAACCAAATCTTTATCTCTCGTGTCCATTCCAATTGATTTTGACTATAGTTTCAAGATCTGTATGACTGCCAGCAGCTACAGGTCAGTGGGATAAAAGCCCCTACCTCTTTCCCAATGACTCCAGCAAGTCTCCCTGCAGCTCATTGACTAGGATCAGTTTGCATGCTCTACCTGGAGCCAATCACTGTAACCAGATAAATGTGATGCTCTCCTTGGCCTTTGGGGCCATTGGGGTGGAGTTTGGGGGTGAAATGATCTCCAACTGAAGCACACGATCTCTGAGTTGGAGTAGTTCCCTAGTAAGAAGATAAGATGAATGGATATGACTCAGCTAAAACAGCAAATGCCCAAGACATCAGGCATTAGTACACATGAATTAGATCAAGCTTTCTTTTTATTGTATTGTTTTTGTTTTGTTTAAAACTGTTATTTTTATTATTATTATTTACTTATTTTTGTTACAGATGTTTCTCCTTTTATCCCCATTGACACCCTCCTCCCCATTCCCCCACCCCCGTTCCCGGCTTTGTTGTTTGTGTCCATCGGTTATGCGCACATACATATAAGTTCTCTGGTTTATTTCTTCCCTCCCCGCACCCCCTCTTCTGAGGGTTGTCAGTCTGTACCCTACTTCCACGCCTCTGGGTCTACCTTATTCCTCAGACTGTCATGTTCATTATATTCCACAAATAAGTGAGATCAAGTAATATTAGATCAAGCTTTCTTGTACCCACCTTTAGAGTCACTGGATTTGCCAACAAGTTCAAGGCTCCAGTGACTCTTCTGTTCATTGTTTCCATGCAAGTAGATGGGGCCATGGCTTATCTGTGACCCATTTTTTTAAAAATCTGTGACTGAGTGGCAGAATTATCAAGGGGTACATATATAGGAAGTGTATTTTATATTTCTGCCAAGAAAGTTTATTAACAGAAAACAGATCAGTCCAGAATCAAACCAAAAATGATTTTTGGAGCATCTGATTATTTTTTTCTTCGTCAGTTCCAGTGAGGATTATAGGTTCACTAATGCATCTGGTTTTGAGAACTTACTATAGGCACTGATTATATGATAGGAAATAAGACACAGTACCTCCCTCAAGGAGTCAAGGTAGAGGAGATGAGCAAATAAATAAGCAATTAAAATATAGCTTCAGTCATTTACAATAGTGTCACTACAGAGAACTCTGAGAGCCCGAGGACAGAGGCCATGCACCCTGCTCAGAATTAAGTGTTCAGGGGAAGCTACAAGGGAGGAGGAATCTGGAGAATGAACAATACAAAAGTGGCCAGAGAGATCATCTTGCTGGAACTCTTCACTCACATGACAAGCCAGCCTGAGTGGTGAGTGGGGTGGAAAGAGTAACGCTGAATGGTAAAAAAGGTGTCCAGTGGATAAGGAGGTCCAGGAAGAGCTGTGTCTTCCAAGTTGAGGGGTGAGTTTGTGCTCAGTGGTTGAGACGGAAGTAAGACAAGTCAGGTATGAGAGATGAAACTGGAAGAAGGCACAAAAACCAGACCAAGGAGATCATGTTGGTCATTTGGAGGTGTGTGGATTCCCTCTTGGGGCACCACAGAGCCACTGAGGAGTTTAAGGGAACAGTGAGGAGCTCAAACTGTTCCTTGGTGTTATCCCTGACTAGTACATTCCATTCCATTAAAAATAAAGAGATGCCCTACTCTAAAGCAGATGTCTAGAGAACGGGGCAGCATGTATCTAGACAGACCCTATCATATAGGTTTATTTTTCCAGCTACTGTTCCTAGATGGATAGGCATTATTGATGGAAATCTCTACCTCAGATGGTCCTACTCAATGCATGCTGTGTGACCTTGTCTGGGTCATCGCATTCTCTGGAGATTTAAGAAGTGAAGGTGTAACCTACTGATCTGATGTCTTTGTAAGCTAGGAATTGTCAGTGGCTAAGAAGTAAAGAAGAGAGGAAAAGAGGGGTGGGGAGAGGGAGAGACAGAAAAAGACTGGGAATGGGGAAGGGACTATGAGAGAGAGAGAGAGAGAGAGAGAGAGAGAGAGAGAGAAACAGAGACAGTTCTGTAGCCAGCCCCAAAGCCTGCATTTAAATCTGTTTCCGTGGTGGGAAATGAAATTTGCCCTGATTTTCTGGCAAATAGTGTTGGGAATTCAATGACCCTTCTTATTCTTAGCTTTCAGTGACCTCTGGAGATAAATGTGGTCACATAAAACTGAAGTCTCTGGCTCCAGCCTGGCCTTGCCAGGGAAGAGGTATCTTAAAAATAGCAATAAAAGTTAAGGCAAGTCTCCGACTGCCCATTTCAGATGCATTCCCAGCATTTTTAGAGCAATGTTGGCCACGACCATCTAACTGCTCTGACAGAGCTGCTCCATAAACAGTCCTGTGACGTCAATCTGCAGGCATGATTAGAGCCCAGTTGACAAGGTCGAAAGACCACTGCATCCTGGAGGATGGG